TCTAAAATGCCTGTACATCCTGCCTGTCCAAATCCTACAAAGATTCTGCCTGTCCAACCTAAAACCCTGTTTCCTGTTTGAAAGCTGTTTTTGATTCTTTCCTTATCCATTATCTGTACTCAAATAACGACCTTATAGTCCTCCTCATGTTTTAATCTGCATTTTGCCTTCTTCTGTAGTCATTCATGTTCTTGGCATTCTTCCTTGTAGACTAAATGCTATTTATGGGCAAAAGTCTGTTATACTCACTTCTGGTTCCTTACAGCCCACTGTCATGAATATGTAGTCACTTAATAAAGATGCCTTCGATTGATCCTAAAAGCTAAAAGCCATGATAGAGAAACTCATACAGGAACATCTGCAGAGGTCATTGCAAAACTTCAGTGCTATCCAGAGACATTCAACACACGTTTAAGCTCCTCCAAAAGATGATTGGCTACAGAGTTCATATTATATCTATCCCCTTACTTTATTATTTGTGTGAAAATCACCTACTTTTAAACTTTTGTAAGGCCAAGGAGAAAGACATCCAATTATTTATCTGAGAGATAGGCTCTCCACAAACATGAAATGCCATGAGAATCGCACAGAGACAATTACACTTCATTGCATTCTTCTACTTCTTCAACAGTAATCCTGATGCATGCCAGACTATGCAGTTTGGAATCTAAGAATATTTCTTAATATATATTTTAACATTTTATTGCAAACACAGAGATACAAAGAGTGAGAGTGACAGAGAGTAACAGAGACCTTCTACGAGCTGGTTCACTGCTCAAATACCTGTAGTACCCAGGACTGCACCAGGTTGACTCCAGGAAGCTTGGAACTCCATTCAAATCTCCCACATGAGTGGCATGGGTTCAAATATTTTAAGTATCATCTGCTGCCTCCCAGGGTGTGCATTAGCAGGAAGCTGGAATAAGGAGTGGGACAGAGACTCTAACCCAAGCTCTCCTAAGTGGTGTCCTATCCACTGCATCAAATGCTCATTCCTAAGAACGTTTTTTAAAATATTTTTATACAGAGCTTGCATTGTAGTGTAGCAAGTGAAGTTGCCATCTACAATGCTGGCATCACATATGGGCACTTGCTTGAGTCCCAGCTGCTTAATCTAATTACTTGTTAATGGCCTGAAAAAAACACAGAAGATGGCTCAAATGCTTGGGCCCTTACACACATGTGGGAGACCTGGATGAAGCCCCTTGCTCCTGGCTTCTGGCTTCTCCATGACTCAGCCCTGGCTGTTGCAGCCATCTGGGGAGTGAACCAGCAGATGGAGATTCTCTCTCTCTCTCTCTTCCCTCCGCCCCCCATAACTGTGACTTTCAAATAAATAAATAAATCCTTTTGTAAAAAGAAGGAAGGAAGGAAGGAAGGAAGGAAGGAAGGAAGGAAGGAAGAAAGGAAGGAAGGAAGGCAAAAGAAAGTTATGTGGTTGGATTTTGACCTAGCAGTGAAGCCTCCAGTTAGGATGCTGAGCTCCGTGTTGGGTTGTCTGTCTTCAGTATCTGGACGTGGCTCCTCACTTCAGCTTCCTGTTGATAAATACTGTATGAGGCAGCAGTGATGGCTCAGGTAGTTGGGTCCTTGCCCACATGGGAGACCAGATTGTATTCCCAGTTTCTGGCTTCCACTGCCCTGCAGTAGGAGTTGTGGGCTTTGGGCAGTAAATCAGCACTCTCCCTCTCTTTCTCAAATATGTAATATATAAAATATGCTAAATTGTATTACTAATAGGAAAGGAGGAAAGGGGAATGGATGGGGACTAACATTAGTGGTAGATGCCTTCAATCTCTAATCTCATTTAGTCTTCAAAATTACCCAATGAGTTTATCTACATCTTCAAAATTAAAACAAAAATGGGAAAGGTGCAAGGCCTCAAAGAACTCCCCATCCTGGCACAGTAACCTTTAAGCCCAGGTGTACAACCTAAATCCATATTCTTAACATTTCAGTGTAATACCTCCCAGAAAACAGGAAACTGAAAGCAGAATTCATAGTGGTAATGGTCACTAAAACTTGAATCTGGTCTGTGGTGGCAACAGGAGAAGGGAAGACTGAATAGATGATGGTTATATGAGCTTCATAGCTTAGTGGCCATTATTTGGCGACTGTGCATTGCAAACATTGTGGGTTTGATATTCAGAAGATGGTTAATATTATCCACTCCTATTTTCATAGCCAGTATGTTAAAGCTCAATTTCATAATATAATCTCACAAGACTGAATATAGTCTATAGTATTAACATTGTCAGTAGACTAAATTATAACAAGTTAAAGAACTTAATTGGTTTTGTTTTCAATTCTAGATTGAATAGCACTTGTTCCACAAATTAGTGTTGCAATGAATCAAAGAAAGTTAGTTATATAGATGAAAAGGACTAAAGGAATCATAAACAAAAGTAAAAATAAAATTAGTCATTTCAAATTATTTTCCTTGTAAACTGGGGACCAGGAAGCAGAACAATAAAAAAATAGCTAGGTTAACACCAGGTTACTTCAGAATACCCTTTTTTTTTTAAAAGATTTATTTATTTATTTGAAAGTGAGAGTTACACAGAGAGAGACCGAGAAGCAGAGAGGGAAAGAGAGAGGTCTTCCATCCACTGGTTCACTCCCCAGTTGGCCTCAAGGTTGGAGCTGTGTCGATCTGGAGCTAGGAGCTTCCTCTGGGTCTTCCATGTGCCTGCAGGAACCCAAGCACTTGGACCATCTTCCACTGCTTTCCCAGGCCACAGCAGAGAGCTGGATCTGAAGTGGAGCCGCCAGGTCTTGAACAGATGCCCATATGGGATGCCAGCACTGCAGGCGGCGGCTTAACCCACTGTGCAACAGCACCGGCTCCAGAATACTGGCCCCAGAATACTCTTTTGGTGTAAGGATTAAGGTACAGGGAACTGAATTATCATGTGAACTGTGGCTGTCCTGTTATGGAATTTGGCTGTTATCCCTCATAATCTGACTCATTTGAAGATCAGATAAATAACCCCATTTCAGCAAGGTGATAAAGAAATTTAGCATTAGTTACTCCATTTTGGTTTTTAACTTAGTCTTTTTGAGTCTAATGCAGGAACTTAGTTCAAACAATGGCCTCCTTCATTTTTTACTTAAAACTATGTAGGAATGGAAAATAATTCACTGACGAAAACAACTAACTGTATTATTATTCTGTGGAAATTGAATAACTCCTGAAAGTTATCATAACTTTCTATGTTCTCTCTTTGTAACACAATGTTTTGATTTTTAAAAATGCTTTTCTATGAAAATTAATCATGGAATTATTATTTAAAAATCTAGTCTGTTATCTCTTTATATTTGTAAAATTTTTAACTTTGTATTAGAGTAAGGTTTTACTAAAGGAAAGAAAGATTATACCCATTTTATACTAAAATGTGTTACAGTATATTTTACTTAGAACTCATCATTCTGTGATTCTGTCATCCTTAATTTTTGTTTAGGGTCAAGGAAACTGAAATCTTAACTTCATACTGCTCTTTGTTGAAAATGCTTCATCAGAATTTTAAAGGATTCTGGAAAATGTGAAATGCTATAGAACACCAAAACAATAATAATACACTAGACTAAAATTCCTTTCTATATTGAATTCAGTTTCTATCTACTTAAATCATGGAAATCAGATCTGCATAATATTCAAAATGAGAGTGTTATAGACACTGATGTACAAGTTGCCTTAGTCCTTTTGTTCATTTTAATTGTAGGAGATCTGGAAGGACTGTGTTTCCTCCTGGAAGTGTTTTTATGTTGGCTTTCAGCACAGCAGTGTCTCAAAAGGAATCGGACACCTCCATCTGGTGGTGCAGTCGTAAAATTTCAATGGTCTATTTTCATGAAGTATTCTAATATTGTGTTGGTTTCAACTTTCTAGTTTTTACATTATGTTAATCATACTGAAAATGTATTTCTCATATAAAAGTGAATAATAAAATAAATAATTTATAAGTTTTATGAAGCTGAATTTAAGCATTATCTTATCCATCCCTACACCTCATTACCAATCATAAAACACAAATCAGCTCTTATGCCAGAGGAAATAATAGAATTTTCCCTATCTCTCTAAAAGAAAAGATTTCTTTCAAATCGTTTGATTTTTGAATAATATTATGTCAAAGTGATAGAAGCATAACTCTTCAAGATTCTATTTTATAAAACTACATTTAAGTATTTAGTAAGGGATAAGACCAAAAACCTTTTTAAGACTCGATTTGTGTTATCTGTTTTTCTTTCTTATATTTTCTACTCTAATTCCCTTGTTATAGAATCACTTTTTCCTTAAGATATTGTGCCAGTTTTCTTTCTTAAGAATCAATACTGTTGTTTATTCAATATGCACAAATTTGGGATTATGGTAGCTTTTTCTAATATTTTTAGAATATTTATATAATTTTCAATTTATCATTTCAGCATCATTGCTTTTTTACTCAATTTATAATGAACTTTCTTCTGCTATTAAACATCCCTTCCACCCCATATTCCAAATTCACTGCTCTGTGCTATCTTCACCTCTGCTCTCAAAACCTTCTGATTTCCTCACAATGGTGGCTGGGATTCACATTTGTTACAAAAAGTGATAAGCTAGTGAATGTGATGCTTGAACACAATCTTTGGCTTATTTGTTTATTTTTTTATAACTCAACCATGTGATTAAACAGGAATCTCCTCTTAATGTTTGGTATTTCTTTTATTTGATATGTCCCATCCCTGTCTCTTACCATCATTTCAAATGGTTTTGAGCATGTGTCAATTGTGATTAGCTAATTCTCTACCATCCTTTATCTAATACTTGTGTCATAATTATCTTACTCTATGTTTTAAATGTTCTACAGGACATGTATTTGTACTTGATTCTTTCTGTTCATTCTTTCTTTTGATTCTAGTGAAGTATCCATTGCTCACTCTCAGATAGAAGTCTCACTTTAGGGGAATGAAAATAGAAATATACCAGTATAACCAAAAGGGAAATTTTCCTCTCATTTCAGAGGAGAGCTGCTGATAATTTGAGGCGACATCACCAATATCAAGTAAGTTATGCTTGTATTATTTTCTTGAAATTTACATTAAAATAAACCAGACCCCTCTTTTCTTTTTTTTAAACTTTTATTTAATAAATATAAATTTCCAAAGTACAGCTTTTGGATTACAGTGGCTTTTTCCCCCCATAACCTTCCTCCCACCCACAACCATCCCATCTCCCGCTCCCTCTCCCATCCCATTCACATCAAGATTCATTTTCAATTATCTTTATATACAGAAGATCAATTTATCATATATTAAGTAAAGATTTCAACAGTTTGCACCCTCTTTTCAAAACTGACTCAAGAGCAACATCATATTTACTCACTGAATATCAATACTGTTGTTCTAAAATGCCTCAGGAAGTTATGAGGAACCTGGTGAAGCGATACGTTGCTGCAATGATTAGAGACGCTAAAACTGAAGAAGGCCTCACTGAAGAAAACTTCAAGGTAATCATTTTTATTTTCTCCGTAAGAGACAGATTCTGCAGAATACATGACCAGACACAGCACATTTAAAATCAGAGCTAGAAACTCAGCCATGTGTTCTAGCAAGCCTGTGTACCTCCTGATTTTTAAATTTAAAATGTCCCTATTGAATTGTAAAAAAAAAAAAAAATTAAATAAATAAAAAGTGAGTGGTAATAGTTCTTCTCAAAATAAATTGTTTTGAAATATACTTAATCCAAAATGTCAAGGAGACTTACTGAGAGGCAAAGAAAATCCTATTGCCTCATGGCATAAGTTCATTCTGACTTGCTGATCCCAGTAACGTTCTACTGAGTGAGCCTTCGTTTTTGAAATTTCAGCCCAATTTCTATATCTGAAACATTTAATAACCAACACACTAGCAAGAAAAAAAATCCCTCTGTGTGCTCTGCATCTCTTTGATAGCTAGGAATTTAAGGTATGAGTTTAATTGTAACTTGTAAACTTAGTTTTTTCATTTGAAGATTTTCTAAAAATAATTCTACCAGAAAAAATAACTAAAATATATAGCATACATTTGAAAATTTGTATAAGATAATTTGACCTTGCTGCATGACTGTTAGTGATTTTGGAAGAATGATTCAAGACAATAAATGCTGGCAAAACAACAAAAATATTTTTAAAAAGCATGATAGGAGATCTTTACAGAGAAAGCCATAGGTTTGATAAACATAATGAAGATAGGGAGCCAGATAATAGATAAATTGCAATATTAAAAGCACAATTTGAAAAATCCAAATGTTCTTGGCAGCCACAAATTCGGATTTTGAAGTTTAAATGACTTGCATTGCTTTGGAAGGTAGGTTGGAGTCAGGAGGCCACCAAGAAGGCCACCATCAGGTTAGGACTGACAACTTAGCTATCCAAAAAAGATAAAGGACAAGGATGGATCTAAGAAATGCTGCTGACCTGAGCACTTTCTAGGATTCAGAGCATGGCCCAGACATAGGAGTAAAGTCTCCTCCTGGATGGTAAGCCGTGGGGAGGAAGGGGGGAGCAGCTGCCAGTTCTCAGAAGAGTAGATTCTACTCTTTTGGATATCCCTTTGGAAAGAAAAGTGTGCCAATCTTAAACATCTTATGAAGTACACCCCTGAGAGAGCATGAGCTGACTTAACAGTATACTGTAGAGAAGAAATAATTTGAAACTGTAGTCCCAGAGAAACCCAACATGTGCAACTACGCAGTGATGGAAAAGAGAACTACTCCTCTTTCTTGCTACCTCGACCTTAGAAAGTTTCTCCTTACAAAAGAATCCAATAGGGAGATTAGTAAACTGGGGATTCTACAATAGAACCCAAGAACAGTAGATTCCTAATTCTTACAAAGGAGTGAGAATATTTCAGACCCACGTGTGAAATGAGAAAATGATGTTTCCTAATAGTTCTTTTGGTTGTCACAACCTAATTGTTCTTTAAATTTCACTTAGGAACTAAAACAAGACATTTCTAGTTTCCGCTTTGAAGTTCTGGGATTACTAAGAGGAAGCAAACTTTCCACAATACAATCGGCAAATGCCGCGAAGGAGGCTTCTAACTCAGCTGACTCAGATGAAAAGAGTGATAACGAAGGTAATAGCAAAGACAAGAAAAAGAATTTCAGCCTTTTCGATTTAACCACCCTGATTCATCCAAGATCAGCAGCAATTGCCTCTGAACGACATAACATAAGCAATGGCTCTGCCCTGGTGGTGCAGGAACCACCGAGGGAGAAGCAGAGAAAAGTGAATTTTGTGACCGATATCAAAAACTTCGGGTTATTTCATAGACGGTCAAAGCAAAACGCTGCTGAGCAAAACGCAAACCAAATCTTCTCTGTTTCAGAAGAAGTTGCTCGTCAACAGGCTGCAGGACCACTTGAGAGAAATATTCAACTGGAATCCCGAGGATTAGTGTCACGGGGTGATCTGAACATTCCTGGTCTCAGTGAACAGTGTGTGTTAGTAGACCATAGAGAAAGGAACACGGACTCACTGGGTTTACAGGTAGGCAAGAGAACGTGTTCATTCGAGTCAGACAAGGTGGTGGTGGAGGACACTGTTCCCATTATACCAAAGGAGAAGCACTCAAAGGAAGAGGATTCTAGCATAGACTATGACTTAAACCTCACCGACACAGTCACCCATGAAGATTACGTGACAACGAGATTGTGATACTTGAAGGAGGAAGTGTTTACCATACCTATACATATTTCCTATAGTGCTCGGGGTGTGGGGGGAAATGTTTAAAATTAAACTAGCAAATGCTAACTTACACTTTATAGCATTTATCAACTGTGGCATATTAACCTGTACCATGTTTAAATAAGGCAAAAGCAATCAAGAGTCCTTCTGTTTTGTAGCCTGCTTTTGCTTTCACAATTTGTTTTACAATTGTTTTTGTTAATAAATAAATGCACCTTGTATTCTTGTACTGTTGCAATAACCCACAGAAAATTTTTAGCTATCTTTTACAATTAAAACAAGTGCAATTTACTCCATGTGGTAGTTGACTCCTATAATAGATATTTTTATATGCGAAAAACAATTTAGCCAAAATATTAGAGCTTTTCATAATTGGGGGGTGTCTCTAGGGGTGATTACACTTCACCCAGTCCTACAGATTCATTTTAAAATATAAATATTGCTGAATTGTAAGAACATGTAAGTAATTATAGTAAAATTGAAACAAACAAGACTTCTTATCATAGAGTCAGAACCAATCCTCTCTTAAAATAGAAGTCCCATATACTTTGTAGACTTTTAGATTGTTCCAGTATTTATTACCAGTAAGTAAAAGATTTGTTTTAATAAAATTAGATGACTGACTATTTTTAAGGGCATTTTGTCAGGAAAAAAAAAAAAGGTTGGTTCTTCAGTTAAAAAAAAAATTACCTGATTCAGGTTAACTATCATGAGCATAATATGAACCTTTATGAATAACTGAATTTCAAAAAGGTGGCAAAATCTCTCAGTGACATAAAAGAATAAGTTAGACTCATTTAAGTACCTTAAACAAAGCAAGTTGTTTTCAAACCTACAGTAGTCAACTGACAAAGAGTTCATTCTCACAATTCAACTGTAAGCACAGTTGAATTTTGACATTCCCAATCATACAATGTTGATGTTAACTCAAGAGTAGAAAAACCTAGTAGTTCCTTTTTTTTACCCTTACCAACTGGTCTATCTTTTTGAAAATTAAAAACACTCAAAAATCATTACTCATTTTTTTACTATAAAGAAAAGATTGTAATTTTCCCTGTAGTGCTAAATCCTTAGTACCTCTGTCTTCTATTATTTGCAGGGTAATTTAGCTTGTGTTACATTCTTCACTGAACTACCATAAGGAAAGTATTTATATCTGATACAAAAATGATTCTGGCAACTTTTTTAATTTTTAATTTTTTTGTCTATTTCAGCAATTATAGAGCATTTCCCCACCATATGCTAATGTATTTATTTCAGATCAGTAGAAAAATGTTGCATTATTTTTACTTCAAAAGTTGCCTCTATGGGCTGGAGAAATTGTATGATTTAGCATTGACCAAAATTGTGAAATGTTATGAAACTCAGTTTCAGATTATCACACACCCAAACTATAAATTAAATAACAATGCTGGTAATTATTCTTTATGCTACCCATACAGGTATTAGCATCTGTGTACTGCTTCTAGAAACCCTTTGAAGCAATTTCTGTTGTTCAACTCATTTTACAGGTGAGAGAACTGGGAAAAGCACAAACCTGACTAAGGTAGCGCAGCCAGTGATGGAATTGTTTTGTGATGTGTGCTTCGGGGCTGTGCCTTTAAACATGGCGTTTTCTCCCTCCTGAATGAATCCAGGACAAGCAAAGCAATATGTGCTTAGATGGGGGTTACTGTTGCCACTTCTGAAATCCTGTGCTTTGAGAAGGACTGAGTTTGGTACGCTCTATTAAGTGAGTGTCCCTTCTTACAAAGTGGCACAAGTGTACAAAATTAAAGATGTGTTGTTGTATTTGATTTTTAGACTCAGTTACATCATAGAAGTTAGTAGATAAAAAAAAAATATTCTGTATGGGATCTCAGATTTCAACATGGAATATTAGATTTTAATTTTTAGGGAAACAAGAGGCACTGTTTACTCATAAATCTGATTCTGCCTCAGGATTTTATGATCTGGCTGCATAGGTTTGGAGGCACAAAGGCATCTGAATTGAAACTGCTTGAAACACATCTCCATCTCAGTAAACACATTAGGACTCAGTAAACAAACACAGGGGCTATTGAAACACCCAAGGTTACTAAATCGGGCATATAGTGGTAGTATGGGAAGTGTGGACTGGTTCTTAATGTTTGAGATACTTTCCATTAGTACCTTTTTGCCTCTGTGTATATGTGTATGTTTTCCAAAGAAAGACACTATACATACATTTCCAGGATCTAATTTCAAGTTTCCTCTATTCCTTTAACCAACACTACTAATGAAAGCAACAAAAAAATATTTTCCTAGTAACTCATTTATGTCAAGGATTACATGGTGATAATAAAGTGATTTATTTGGAGCTGCCAACACCCTGCTTTTTTCACTATACTGGAAAGGATTCTATCAGTCCTCAGATGTCACTGACAAGTGCATTTGTAAGTATGAAAAAATGTTGGATATTGTTAGTACCAGATGTCCTAAAATTGAACATTATTATAAATATGTAGTGATATTATGTATATAGTGAAGGTATTAATGAAGATAAACAGTAGAGATAGTGTAAGAAACAACAGAATTGCAAGCAAAGTGATGATGTTTCTTTGAAATTAAATGAGTGATCTGCAGTTTCTTTATATCACTATTCAAATTTCTATCCATATAAATTCCAGCACACCAAACAAAAGTTTTTAATTATTTTCTTTATGTACAAATAATGTTTCTTGTTTTCCGTGCCTCATAATCTTTTAAAAAATGATCTCTTTTCCTTTTTTTTTTTTTTTTTGCCTAAGTTGGGTGGAAGAGTGTCTTGGTAATTCAGTTCAACTTTAATGGATTGGAAAGTAAATTCACAATACTTCATGCATCACAGGTTTGTTGTGGAAGCCCTATTTACGAGAAAGTATGCTATGAAAAGATACTGTGCCATTTGTGATAAATGTTTTACTTAAAATTTCTGTGTAAAAATTATATTAACAGCAGAGAAACTGGTTATGTAAAAAATTATTTTTCAAAGTGATAGTGATTCTCAAAATGTATGCTTCACAAGCTGAGTATTTGTATATTAATTTTTCTTAAAATAGGCATTTTATTTAATCTCAACAATTAAAATATCGTAAAAAAATGTACTCCTTTTCTTGCCTTGACATGGATAGCAACTTGTCATACATTAGTGATCAAACATACAAATGCAAACAATAAACTTTCTTGGTTAATTCTAAGATGTAATGAAAGAAATCGATGAAAAGTCCAGGGTAGTAAACTTACCATGCTATTCCCAAAGAAACAAAGTCAACATTCCAGCAAATGGGTAGTAATTGTTTAACAGTGTAGTCTTCTTACATAACCTGATAACCCTTACTAATTCTTGGACTGAATTGAATGAATGAATGGTCAGTCCCAGGGCTTTTGCTGAAGAACAGCCACTGCGTGTGGAAATCTGTCCCTCCTTAGTCGCCATGCATTGTTTTCACAATTGTCTTCCATATTCTGTATAGAAAGCTACCAGACTTGATCAGCATCCTCAAAAATAAGCCTGATAAAGCATTTGCTGTGTCTCTCTCAATATGTAGGGACCACAGAACTTAGAAAACTGTTATCTCCGGCAGTCCCCTTTGCTTCAACATCCAAAATGTAATTCCAATGATTTTAAATGTATTCTAACTCATTTTACTTATATAGTATTTTAACATTATACATTTCATTTGAAATTGAAACCACACTGTTCTCCATAGGTAACTAGAGAAACTAAGATTCAAGAGATTTATGGCAAATCTCCAAGTTTATCCAGCTTTTCAGTGGTCGAGTTGGAGCTTAAACAAAAAACTCTTCATATAGATATTTGGATGAGACATCAATTCATAAATGCCTTAATAAATGAATTTTCATTTGGAGGGAATTTTGTCTTTTTCTTTTCTTTTAAAGATTTATTTATTTATTTGAAAGTGAGAGTTACACAGAGAGAGAAGGAGAGGCAGAGAGAGAGAGGTCTTCCAACCACTGGTTCCCTCTTTGATTGGCCGCAGCAGCTGGAGCTGCACCAATCTGAAGCCAGGAGCCAGGAGCCACTTCCTAGGCTCCTGTGCAGGTGCAGGGGCCCAAAGACTTGGGCCATCATCCACTGCTTTCCCAGGCCACAACAGAGAGCTGGATCCAAAGTGAAGCAGCCAGGATGTGAATCAGTGCCAATATGGGATGTCGGCTAAGCCACAGCACCAGCCCTGAATTCTGTCTTTTTCATCCTCTCTTTAAGTAGTAGAATCATCCAAACTTTTCAGTCAAAATTCAAAATTAATAACATTTTAGTTTTTATTTTCTTACAAAGTCATATTAATATATTTTCAAAATTTTTAAAAACACTTCAACATTCTCACTTCACTTTCATTTGTGATACACTATATGAACACTGGTAGTAAGGAAAGGTATTGAGTAATATTAAGGCCTCTCAAATGAAAAATGAGAGAACTGGACAATATAAGACTGAACTAAGAATAAAACTGCGGGATCAGGGGCCAAAACAGCTATGCAGACGCAGGCTAAGTAGTGAAGCTGTCTCTGCAACTAAAATTCACCAGTAGCAAATCAGTAAGTTTCCTCCAGAGCTGTGCTGTGCAATAAAGCAGGTGCTATCCACAGATGGCCATTAAGCACTTGAAATGTAACTAGCCTGAATTAAGGTGTGCTGTATGTGTAAAATATAACCAGATCCCAAAGATGTGGTGGGAAAGTGTGCAAACTACCTCATTCACATTTTACATTATGATCATATGTAGGATATATTGAGCTTTAAATGCTAATTAAGGCCGGCGCCATAGCTCACTAGGCTAATCCTCCGCCTTGCGGCCCTGGCACACCGGGTTCTAGTCCTGGTCAAGGCGCCGGATTCTGTCCTGGTTGCCCCTCTTACAGGCCAGCTCTCTGCTGTGGCCAGGGAGTGCAGTGGAGGATGGCCCAAGTCCTTGGGCCCTGCACTCCATGGGAGACCAGGATAAGTACCGCGGCAGCCATTGGAGGGTGAACCAACGGAAAAGGAAGACCTTTCTCTCTGTCTCTCTCACTGTCCACTCTGCCTGTCAAAAAAAAATTAATAAAAATTTAAAAATGCTAATTAAATGAGTTTTATATATTCTTCATACATTCTCAACATGTCTATTAGAAAACTGAAAAATACAGATGTGGCTTGTTGTTGTCAATTGTAATATTTTTTTTGGACAATGCTGCTCTGGAAAATTTGTGCAATTTCTTTCACACAATTCATGTATTTCCATAATTACACCAATTTAAGTATTTTAACTACTCAAAACAAATTCCTGTGACTGCACTCAAATTTGCAGTTTCTCTTTAATTCTCAATCTCCTACTAGAATCACTGCTAACAACTTGCTGTTGTTTCATTTTTTCGCTTTGCCTTTGAAAATTTATATAAATACATATATATTATCTAGGTTATTTCTTCGTTTTTATCAGGAATTTAATCGTACTGTCTATGATATAACTTTATTTTTTATAACAATGTATCATGCAAAAATTTTCTAAAGTAATATTTAATGTAGCACAGCCATTTGCATCCATTCAAAGAAATTCCTTCACTAGTTATTTTACCTACTGATCATATTTATTTATTTTAAAACCATTATGGAAGAGTTACTTATAAGAAAAGAAATAAAGATTTTAAATGATGAGGAGTACTTGATAGACATGTAGGTGTTTCTGAAAAACAAATATATTCATTTCTATCTGTTGATAACTTGACAGGATTTACCATTTTTCTCATGATTAAGCACCAATTCCATATCCTAACTTCCATAAACTGGTCCAGTTCATGTTACCAGCCTCATTCTTTAACATTGTTCTCTCATACATATTAATCTTCAACAATTCTACACATTTTTAAGAATTATTTATTTATTTGAAAGGTAGAGTTACAGAAAGGAAGTTGCAATAACCACTATTGGGCCAGGCTGAAGCTAGGAGCTAGGAGCTTCTTCCAAGTCTCCCATGGAGATGTGGGAGCCCAAGGACTTGGGCCATCCTCTGCTGCTTTCCCAGGCATATTAACACAGAGCTGGATCTGAAGTGGAGCAGCCAAGACTTGATCCAGTGTCCATATGGGATACCAGCATCACAGGCTGTGGTCTAACCCACTGAACCACAGCGCTGGCCACCATACCCTTATTTTGACTTATTTAAGACTTAATATTGGTCATGTCCCCAACATTGGCAAGCACTATTCCTTCAGCAGTGAATAAAATTTTATTAAATATTTTTATTAAAAAATTATTAAATATTTTTTGCAAGAGTGTCTTGGCTTTCCATGCCTAAAATACTCTCATGGGCTCTTCAGCCAGATCCGAATAATTTGTTTATTCTATCATGTTAGTTAATTTCAGCTAACTTTAATGACTTTCTTTATGTTTGTCTTACCAAGTTTCTTTTTTTCCTAAAAATGATCTGAGCCTGCATACAGATAATGATCAAGTATTGCCCACTCTAGGAAGAAGAGGTGATCTTCACTGACATTCTTACTTGGCAGCAATGTAGTTCAGAGGTTTAATTTTCTCCTAAAAAATAACTTCTGGTGTTAATTCAGCATTCAGAACCCCCAAAAAAAATGTCCTTTGATGTGGGAAAAACAGGAAGTTGGTATCCTTTCATAGCTGCTTAGGATGACCACATACCCAGTATTTCACCTCTTTGGACTTCAATTGCTTGTATTTGAAATTTCTGGATGAAAATGTCTCAACTGTCTCTAAAATATAGAACTGTGCTAATTTTTTTTAAAGATTTATTTTATTTATTTGAAAGAGTTACAGAGAGGTAGACACAGAGAAATAGGTCTTCCACCCAGCTGCGCTGATCCGAAGCCAGGGGCTAGGAGCCTCTTCTGGGTCTCCCACGTGGGTGCAGGGGCCCAAGGACTTGATCCATCTTCTACTGCTTTCCCAGGCCATAGCAGAGAGCTAGATCAAAAGTGGAGCAGCCGGGACTAGAACCGGCACCCATATGGAATGCCAGAGCTTTAGGCCAGGGCTTTAATCCACTGTGCCACAGCACCAGCACCTAAATCTTTTTAAAGTTCAAAAAAGCAAACAAAAAGAAAGTAGAACTATGGAAAAAAATAAACACACCATAAAATATTAAGTTAATGGTTATTTCTTTGATTTTCTTCTCTTAATTAAGCTTTCCTCCAAAATTTAGAGGAATATGTATTTATATTCAGCGATAAGGAATGATAGAGCAGTACCTTTCATGCATTTTACCATTTTCCCTGAATGGAAACTTCTTTCAAAACTAGAGCACAATATTACAGGAAATTGAACTGGATATAACTCATTGATCTACTTCATACTCCCACAGTTTTAATTGTACTTGCTTACATGCTTGTGGGAGGAAGGGGGAGAAATGTGTGTGTGTATATATATATATGTGTGTGTGTGTGTGTGTGTGTGTGTGTGTGTGCGTGTGTGTATATATGTGTGTATATATATATATATAAAATACAGTATATACATATGTGTGTATATATATATACACATAGTTCTATATAATGTATCACATGTACAGATTGGTATATCCACAACCATAGTCAAGATACAGAGAATTTATATTACCACAATGATTACTGGTGTTGTCTTTTACAACCATACCCATCTCTTATCACCCACCTCTCCCCAATTCCTAACCCTTGAAAACCACCTAGGTTTTTCCATTTTTATGTTGTTCTTTCAGTTCAAAGCATTTTCTAATTTTCTATAAATGGAATCATACATATATTCAATCATTTAAGATTCATGCATTTAATTGTAACATAATTCTTTGGAGAATTATGTAAGTTGTTACATGTATCGATAGTTTCTTCCCTTTTTATTGTTGAGTTCTGATTCCAGGGTATGGATGTAACACATCTTTAACATTTCACTCATTGGAGGATATCTACGCTGGTTCCAGTCTTTGATTATTACAAATGAAGCTACTATGAATATTTATATATAGGTTTGTATGCGAACATAAATTTCATTTCTCTGGGACAGTTCCTTGATAACATGGTAGTTGCATGTTTAGTGTTTCAGCAAATATCCAACGTGTACCCAGCATACTATTCCATTTGACGTGCTCACCAACAACATATAAGTGATGTCTGATTTATTTTTCTGTTAGATTTGGTGTGGCTGCCTATTTTTATTTTATTTTATTTATTTTGATGTGATTACATGTCATCTGGGTTTTAATTTGGATTTCTCTGAAGGATAATGATTTGAACCATTTTTACATGCATATTCATCATTTGTATTTAAAATGATGAAATTTCTGTTCATTTCTTTTACACATTTTCTTAGTAGAGTGTTTATATGTTTGCTTGTTTAATAACATTGACTTTGAGAGCTCTTTTTCTATTTTCAAGAGCATTTGTCAGATATGTCATTTGAAAATGTTTTTTCTCAGTCTAATTTCTTCTATCCTCTTGACAGACTCTTGCACAAAGCAAAAACCTTAAATTTAGATCAAATCTAATTCTTTATTCTTACTCTCTATGAGTGCCCTAAGAACTCTTTCCTAGGTATGCATCATAAAGATTTTCAGACACGTTTTTTCTAAAAGTTTGATAGTTTACAGTTAACCACACTTTTTTTTTCCTTTTTCTCATCTTCCCAGTGCATTAAGTAACGTATCTACAAATTTATGGAGGAAAAGTCATTTTGAGGCCAAGGATCACATATTATGTGCAGACAGAAAATAAGTAAGAATGTGCTGACTGGCAGATTTTCAAGTAATAGTGAAATTTGTGTGACAAGAAGAAAAGAAAATAGCTCATGGGATAAAAACTGGCACTTCCAGTGTTGTGGTACAGTAGGTTAATCCTCTGCCTGTGGCGCTGGCATCCCCTATGAGCACCGTTGAAGTCTTGGCTGCTCCGCTTCAAATCCAGCTCTCTGTTATGGCCTGGGAAAACAGTAGAGGATGCCCCAAGTACTTGGGCCCTGAACCCACTTGGGAGACCTAGAAGAAGCTGCTGGTTCCTGGCTCCTGGCTTTGAATCTGCGCAGCTCCGACCATCATGGCCATTTGGGGAGTGAACTAGCGGAAGAAAGATCTTTCTCTTTCGTCTCCTCTTCCTCTCGTTGTCTGTAACTCTCTATACCTCTCAGATAAATAATTAAAATCTAAAAAAAACTGGCCCTTCCCAAAAACTATAGTTATACTTTTTCTGAAGTTTGAAGAAAATAAAGTTCAAACAATTTGTTAATTCTGTTACATATACCACAACTGGCTGAAACACAGAAAAAATAAAGATTAGGAAAGTGGGACTAAAAGCCAGAAATTGTAAAATATTAAATTCAATTTAATTGCTATTTTGAAAAAGGCTGGGGTTGTTGAAATAGGATATGACCTCCCCATGCTTTGAATAACACTCACTGAGTTTGAATGTGGCATGTAGGGACCCCTGAAACTGCCACTCATTTGTTTACAATGGTTTTCCTTGGTTTTCACAGTGTTACAACAAAGAAAAAAAAATTGGGTAAAATGCATTGTAACTCATTTGTGTAAATGTAATCATATGAGAATAATGAAATTATAATTATATGAGAACACACACAAAACATTAGTCAAAACAATATATTGTACGAAAATATAACCATTCAATATGACATAAAATTCTCACATTAATCAAAATCATTTCCGAGGTTTTCATTATAAAGTGAAACTACCTCTAATACCTATCAAGAATGCAACCTGGGCCTGAGCTATGGCTTAGAGTGTTAAGCTTCCACCTGCTGCCCCCATATGGGCATCCTATATAGGCACCCTTTCAGGTCCCAGCTGTTCCACATCCGTCTCAGCTGTTCCATGGCCAACCCAGCTCCCTGCTAATGCACCTGGGATAGCAGCTCAAGATGTTCCAAGTGCTTGGGCCCCTGCACCCACTGAAGACCGGGATTAAGCTCCTGGCTCCTGGCTTTCATCTGGTCCAGCCCCAGCACTATAGCCATTTGAGGAGTGAATCAGCATATGAAAGACCCTTTCTCTGTTTCTCCCTCTCTCTCCATAGCTATAACCTTCAAAAAATAAAATAAATCCTCAAAAAAGGCAATGTAACCTAAAACTCTGGCTAAGTAACTGTAGCATACAATTTTAAAATATTTTAATTCTATGAAGTAGATTTGCCAGTAACTGAATTGCTTAATCAACAGAAGGAATTAGAATTCTTCTACTTTAAAGTAACTGATTTTGTGTATATACTTTGTTTATTCATTATATTTTTTTCTTTTCCCATGTTTGGATTTCTTTTTTTAATTTTTGTTAATATAAAGAGGACAAATTTCATACATTTCATAGGTACAATTCTAAAACAATAAGCAGACTTCATTCCCTCCTTCTTTCTTAGTATCTTGGTTATTCTGGGAAATGCTGCTATGCAGATGGGAGGATAGACATCTTTATGACATACTGATTTCACTTCCTTTGGATAGATGGGATTGCTGATATGGCAGTTCGATGTTTACAAAGCATGAAATTGAAAAAAAGTAACAATTTTTAGGTGATCTGTATCTCTAATATTGCCTTCCTTTTCTTTCATTTCCCATTTTCTACCAGATTAGAGATTTGATTCTAAACAATGGGGAAAATAGGATAAAGAATAATTTCTAGAAGAGCTCACAATGCCAAGTCTGCAGAACTTCATTTATGTTTCTCACTATGAAAGATTAGGAAGAAAGTCTTGGTTTCCACACAATGAGTGCTTAAAGCTCAGGGTTTGCAGACTTCACTTCTTTGCTTTCATCGTCCATCTAGCCATTCGAATAGAGGATATTTTGTGAAATGCGGTATGCATATGTAATATGAAAAATAGAAAAAGTATCGTTTTCTATTCCCAAGTCTAGAATAAATGTATTTAATTAGTGATACATTAATCAATCAAGATCTTTGTTTTTTAATGAGCCACCTGTTAAACTGCCCTTTGCAATAATTTTCCCTTCATTCATAACATTGATTAAGCATACATTTGAGACAGACATTCTGAGAACAAAATAATAAAACAAGAAGTTATTGAACTGTGTTAAAAAGAGGCTAATTCTCTGGAAATAACAATTAAGAATGATAGACATAGTGTCTGTGAGAGAAAATCCAGGAGGGAGTCTGAACATACTGTTGGTTACAGAGAAAAAGGGATATCTATGTCACTTCCTAAAGATGAGTAATATTTCTTCATAGGATGATCTTTATCATGGGCATAATGGAGTGTCATTAAAGAATTTCATGTAGGAGTTTGTCATGACAAAATTCACTTGAAGAACAGATGGGAGAAGATGTGGAAATAATCATTACATTTGAATTACAAAATTAAAGAAGCCTTTCAATTCTGCAAAAAAAATATTTTTTGAGATTTTATACAATAGTTTTGAATAGCATAACCACTTGAGAACTTTTCTATACTTGGGATTAGAAAATGATACTTTTCTTGCTTATGGAAGGGCTTTTGGGAGAGAAAAGGTGAAAATAACATTAAGGGTAGTTAGCTATATTACAAGGAAATGAGGCAGCATTTCAGGTGTGTTGCAAGGTTTCCTAAAATAATTGGTTTCCAAAGTTCTAAAGGATTTGTGGAGGTAGAGGAAGCATCATTTATATTACTCTCATGTCTGGGAAAAATGAACCTCACTCTTGATTCTATTTTTGAAGGAGTCCTAGCAAGGTGCACAGGCATGGAACTGGTTAGATCAGATTGTGCTTCTAACCAGGCTTTCTATATAGAAATCGTTTTATTCAGTCATTTAATGAAAGCAGTAACTTAATTAAAGTGTATATTGAGATAGAAATCTGAAATTTTTCCTCACAGAAACATATTGATTTCTTGCTTCTATGTGTATTTTCTGTCTCTTATTCTCTAAAATGGTATTCTCTAAGGACAGAGTTCTTACCCAGCTTGTTCACTATCATGTTTGTAGTGCCTTGAACTGCTTGGGAGATTAGACTATATATAATAAATGTTTTTGAATAAAATGTTTTGTTCTTTCATATTACCAGTTCATTTGACATCCTATTTTCCTTTAACAAGAGAAAGTAGTAGTACTATCTATCTATCTATCTATGTATTTATGTATGTATGTATATTTTTCAATGGTTTCCTAAAATTGTAATTTTATTAAAAATGTAACAAGACAATGAAAAAAAGAAATCTACTTCTGAACTCTCACTTTTAGCTGATTATCATGCATATTTATTTAACGGAATTTTGATTGTTAATAAATCAGATTTGTTAGTGAGGGAAAAGTACATTGAGAAAAATTTAGTGCTTTGCTCAATGTCAAATAACATTTCTGTGACGTACAATGAATCTTAACATATATGCCTCATGTTAAAGTGGCAGAAATTGACGAAAGAAGAGAATGGGATGGAGAAAAAAAACGTGGTTGCAGGTGATGGAAGGTAGGAGGAAGAAGATAGAAGAAAAATGAACACATCTTGGGATAAACAATTTACCCCATTATAACTTTCACAATAATCAGAATGCATTACAATGTCACTCAAAATTGAGGACTGTAATGCTTTTATGATTTATGCAAGTGACTCTTAGCTAACAAACAGCGGTGCTGGATTTGAACTTAGATATTTTAAATCCCAAGGTTAATGTTCTTCCAGGACTGACTATCATAGTCTTTTGGAAATTACTAGAAAGAATGAAGCAGAATGTATTCAGTTTCATTCAGAAGCCAAACTGACTTTCCCAACAAGGTATCTGGGCTAGCTATTAGTCATAACATGTCAAGAAAAGAGAGTCTCCCTTCTTTTTCAGTTACATGGAGTTACATTTTTGCATTTACATGAACATATTGTACTAAATTAAATGAGAAAACAATGTACACTAAGATATCATCCCTTAAATATATACTTGCAATCATGGGTAATCGCTTCCTCTCCACTTGAGAACCTATCAATGAACCACTTAATAAACACATGTGAAAATAAAGCATTTTTTTTCATTGCTTTTTGCCTGTGCAGACTGTTCACATGTAGAGTTGCCATGAAAATCCACAGAAAATCTACCCTGAGATTAGCCCAGGGAGTGATTTATCCAATGAAAGATAGTGTGTGGTGTCACATTCAGTGCATTATTCCTTACAGATATATTTGAGTTATTATATTCTCACTTAATAAAGGCAGAGAAATTTTAACAGGCTGTGGCTACTTTAACTTTCTAATCTGTGCTATCATTCCTAAGCATTGCTGTATTCCATTGATTCATGTCATCACCAATGAAAATTGTTGTAGAGAGTAATAGAGGGTTCAGTTACTTGATTATTGTGTCAATGATGCATATAATTGCAGCAAATGAGAAGTCAAAGGCTACAAAAGCCCAAATTAACTTTGTGTGCAGAAAAAATTTGAAAAAATAATTGCAGCAACATAAAGTCAAAGCAGATTCTACTGTCATGACATGATTTTTTTTTTTTTTTGACAGGCAGAGTGGACAGTGAGAGAGAGAGAGAGACAGAGAAAAAGGTCTTCCTTTACCGTTGGTTCAACCTCCAATGGCCACTGCAGCTGGCATGCTGTGGCTGGCGCACCGCGCTGATCCAAAGCCAGGAGCCAGGTGCTTCTCCTGGTCTCCCATGCGGGTGCAGGGCCCAAGGACTTGGGCCATCCTCCACTGCACTCCCAGGCCACAGCAGAGAGCTGGTCTGGAAGAGGAGCAACCGGGACAGAATCCGGCACCCCAACCGGGACTAGAACCCCATGTGCCGGCACCGCAGGCAGAGGATTAGCCTATTGAGCCGCGGCGCTGGCCTATGACATGATGTTTTACAAAGGTTGAGTGCATAAATTTGAAACATAAATAATGGTTTTGTGTTTTTTCCTAAAGTGGCACATTTTTTAAGATTTTTTTAAATTTTTGACTCATAGTCCTTTGCCCATCTCTAAAATAAGAAAGGTACTGTATTCTTGTTTCACCCTGAATAGGGTAAATTTGGCTATAGAGTGGAATTGGATATTGGCAGTAGAAAGAGAACAAATAGAGGCACATAGGTTCTTTGTGTGCCCCTTTCTTCTGTTGACCTTCAAGGCCTTATTCATTTGATTTTCTATGTCTCAGGAACAGTTATGGCTTCTTCCTATCAGAATGTTCATTGACATTGACTCCAAAAAAGCACTAGTGGCAATTTCACAGTTTTAATTTTTCTAGCTCAAGCTTTTACAATAGTGATCTATTTATTTCCAACTTTACACCTTCTGTTAAGGGGAAAGTGATATCTATGATGGAAATGTTCCACAGATGAGACCAGAAGCTTTAGATATGTGATGAATGCATGCCCCAGAAACTTTGCTTGTGAGTGTAAGAGTCAGAATCATGAATTTCAGCTCAGAAAGGAGTGGCACAAGAATGCCTTCAAACTAATGTTGACTTTTGAAAATATATCTATGTGTGAGTTTGTATGATGATATACATGTGTCTATGTCACAGGGAGAAATGAAATCATGGTTCCAACTTTGGGGGAAACTGTCAAAGATTGTTCTTCTCAGTACGGAAAATTTTGGCAATGGCAACCATCTAGATATAATTTTGATATGTGTCCCAACGGTCCATGTTATGGAAGCATAGTCCCCAATGTAATAGTATAGGGAGATTGTGAAACCTTTAAAAACTGGTATCCAGGGGCCAGCGCCGTGGCTCACTTGGTTAATCTTCTGCCTGTGGCGCCAGCATCCCATATGGGCACCGGTTTCTAGTCCCGGTTGCTCCTCTTCCAGTCCTGCTCTCTGCTGTGGCCCGGGAAGGCAGTGGAGGATGGCCCAAGTGCTTGGGCCCCTGAATCTGCATGGGAGACCGGGAAGAAGCACCTGGCTCCTGGCTTCGGATCAGAGTAGCTCCAGCTGTAGCAGCCACTTTGGGGGTGAACCAATGGAAGGAAGACCTTTCTCTCTGTCTCTCTCTCTCTCTCTCTCACTGTCTAACTCTATCTGTCAAATAAATAAAGAAAAATAAATAATAAATTAAGAAACTGGGGTCCAATGTAAGGGAATCAGATCAATGAGGGTGCCAGTCTCAAAGGGCTTAATGGACTTCTCCCAAGACCCTGATTATAACAACTCTCATGGCAGTGAGTTGTTACAAAAACAGCAAGCCTGGCTCCTATCTCTTTTATTTCCTGTTCACCATCACCACCTTCTCCCTCTGATGTGTCCTCTTATCTTGATGCTATCTACCATGTTGTGTCACAGCCAAAGTGAGGTGCACTCACTGGAGGCTGAACAGAGGGAACTACCCACTCATATTTTCATCTTCCTAAAATATGAGCTAAAAAATAACTCTTCTATATAAACTATTCCGATTCAGATATTTTGTTATAGGAAAAGAAAATAGATGAAGACAACAACAAAGGTTTTAAAAGTTGTTAATATCACACAGTGAGTACAATCGTAACAAGGCTCAAATTCTGGTAAAAATTATGTGAGTTTTTCTCTCTTAAATCAAAAGTGGGGCCTGTGCTGTGGCATAGTGGGTAAAGCCACCGCCTGCAGTGCCAGCATCCTAGCTGCTCCACTTCTGATCCAGCTCTCTGCTATGGCCTGGGAAAGCAGTAGAAGATAGCCCAAGTCCTTGGGCCCCTGCACCCATGTGGGAGACTTAGTGGAAGCTCCTGGCTCCTGGCTTCGTATTGGCTCACCTCTCTCTCTCTCTCTCTCTCTCTCTCTTTCTTTCTCTCTCTCTCTCTGTCTACCTCAGCCTCTCTGTAATTCTGCCTTTCAATTAAATAAAGAAATTCTTAAAAAATCAAAGGTAAACTATAACTACAGAATTTAAATTGTTGTATGTATTAGTTGCTTGAATATTGTAAAAAAAAAAAATCACACTCTCTACACTATTAAACAAATATTCTGTCATTTTTCTTTTACATCTTTTACATAGTGAATTCTTTATATTTCTTAGTCCTGCTCTCTTCCATCCATGACTGCAAGTGGAAATCCATGGTTTAAATCTGAGGAATCCTAAGAAACATGTTATAGAACAGGGGTCAGAGTTGTGGTGCAGCAGGTTAAGCCACTGCTTGGGATGCCAACATCCCATAACAGAGTGCCAGTTTGAGTCCTGGCCACCCACTTCCAGTATAGCTTCCTGCTAGTGTGCTTAAGAAGGCAACAGAGCCAGCGCCACGGCTCACTAGGCTAATCATCTGCCTTGCGGCGCCGGCACACCGGGTTCTAGTCCCGGTCAGGGTGCCGGATTCTGTCCCAGTTGCCCCTCTTCCAGGCCAGCTCTCTGCTGTGGCCCGGGGGTGCAGTGGAGAATGGCCCAAGTCCTTGGGCCCTGCACCCCATGGGAGACCAGGATAAGTACCTGGCTCCTGCCATCGGATCAGCGCGGTGCGCTGGCCACAGCGGCCATTGGAGGGTGAACCAATGGCAAAGGAAGACCTTTCTCTCTCTCTCTCTCACTGTCCACTCTGCCTGTCAAAAAATAAAAATAATAATAAAAATAAAAATAAAGAAGGCAACAGAAGATGTCTCAAGTTCTTGGACCCCTGTCATCCCACAGGAGACCCAAATGGAGTTCCTGGCTCCCAGCTTTGGCCTGGCTCAGGCCTGCTTCTTGTAGTCATTTGGAAAATGAACCAGCAGATGGAAGGTCTATCTTTCTCTCTCTCTCTCTCTCTTTCTCTTTCTCCCTCTCTCTTTCTCTGTCTGTGTCACTCTGATTTCCAAACAAATATACATTTTTAAAATGAATAAATGATGCTTCTACTTCCCCTACAATTTCTCTGGAGACAGCATTCTGACTCACACAACTGGTTTCAAAAATTTCACCTTACAGATGTCAAATCAATGCCTATTTTCCTCTTCAATAAAAGAGTTTTCTAAAACTGTATTGTTGTTAATTTTAATATAAAAGTTGCACATCTGTATGTGGTATTGTGGATGATTCAATATATGTACACACTGACTCTATTTTTGATGCTTTAGCACTAACAGTAAGAAAGTCCACAACTGTTCCCTCCCTTGCTGCTGGGCAAACCAAAGCAAACAAATTCAGGCTCTTGTCTGAGAGAATTCACTCTGTCCCAGAATTCTAATTGCAATAAAAGCCAATGTCAACTACCACACACTTCCTGACCTTTCAAACCACTTTTGAATCTTCCTGGAAGCCTAACCTGACCTCCAAACAAAACCTTACAATCTAAGTAATAAGTTTCTGTACCATCTTGATGTATGTATGACATCATCAGTCTTGACATTAAGGTCAATTGTTGAGCAGTGGAGTTGACCCTGCCATGCTGCAGGATAACTAAAAATCAAAGACAAAAGTAAGACACATATAAGCAATCATTTCTAGTCTTATGGTCATCTAATGATGATATTGGCCTAAGGGACCAATGCACAGTGAAAGAGCATTATTAAGAAGAAACATGCAGGCAAGTGTTTGGGACACCCACATCCTATTTCAGAATGTCTGGATTCAAGCTCATGCTCTTTTTATAATTTCATCTTCTTGCTAATTAGGGCTATAGGAGGGGATAGGTAATGGATCAGGTACTTAGGTCCCTGTCACCCATGTGGGAGACCCTCACTGAGTTCCTTGCTCCAAGTTTCAACCCAACTCAACCCAGCTGTTTCAGGTATTTGAGGAAAGAACAACCAGATTGAGTTGAATAAGTCTCTCTCTCTCTCTCTCTTCCATTTTTCAAAAAAAATCAATAACTTTTAAAAAATATGCACCAATTACTTTCATTATAGTACTTGCAATTGCCATTAGATATGAAGGCAACAGAAAAACATTCTTATGATATTATCTCTATTTCATTTTGGATAAAATAAAAATAGCACTTAAGCAAATATGTCTTTTCTAAGCCATGGGGAATATATTTCTATGGTAACATGATCCCAAACAGAAATAGCAGAACTGATCTTGACATACTCAAAGAATTCGTTTTCTCTTGATAAGCCACAGTGGCACGTAGATAAGAACTGCAAAGACCTTAAGCAGTAAGCCTAAGCAACAATCTAATGCAATCTTATAATGAGGTTATGTATAAAGTCTTACGCATAAAGCCACCAGGCAAAATAATCAGGCACTCCTCTTTCAAGGGTGCATTTTACATGTAGATAACAGATACAAAGCTTTTTCAGGGCAGACCTGGCAAAATAGAAATCATAACAGGTACTCTTTACTTTCAAGTTAGCAGCAACTGTCTTTGTCCCCTGGCAGATCAATAAAAAAAAAAAAAAAATCAATTGTAAACAACAGGGGTCAGCGAGTAGGTTAATCCTTTACCTGTGACACCAGCTTCCCATATGGGTGCCAGTTCAGTCCCAGCTGCTCCTCTTCCAATCTAGCTCCCTGCTCTGGCCTGGGAAAGCACTAGAAGATGGCCCAAGTCCTTGGGCCCCTGCACCTTCATGGGAGAACTGGAAGAAGCACCTGGCTCCTGGCTTTGTATCGGCACAGCTCTGTTCTTTGCAGCCATTTGGGGAGTGAACCAACAAAAGGTTTCTCTTTGTCTCTCCCTCTCATTGTCTGTAACTCTACCTCTCAAATAAATAAATAAAATATTCAAAAAACAGACAAGAACAAAACATGTAAATGTCTACAGAAAATATCAAAAAGGATTTTTTAAACTCAATTTATAAATATTCACAAAATAATGGAAAATTACATCATCCTAATACATTTAATAGTATTTGCGAATGTGTGTGTGTATATATATATATATTTCCTTT